AGGACTCCCAGTACGTTTGCTTCACCCTGGTGCTCTCCGTGCCGCCTCAGGTAGGCTGCCGGCCCCCCACGCTTGCTTTCTTCCCTGTCCCCAGGCCTCTTTGCCTTTCTCGTTGTGTTTTGGGTGTTTCTTTCTTTTCCTAGTATCCCAACAAAGCTCCAGAAATCTCAATCAGGAATCCACGGGGGCTGTCAGATGAGCAAATTAAAAAGTAAGTGCCAGGAGGGTGCGGGGAAGGCGATCCTTTCCTCTGGAGATCTGGGAGGCAGAGTTGGTGGAAAAATCTTCTCTCAAATTCATGTGGCTCCCTGTGTCTGGTTAACAGATGAAGACAGGCCTCTAAATCACCTTGTCTTAAATCTCATGGGAGCTACTGGCGCTTAGCGGTTCACCCTGTGGTTGTTCCCCTGTGGTCCCCCTGAGATGTAATCTAAACCTCCTGGGCCTTTGAAGCTGTTGGTCTTGCTTTAACAGAAGTGGGACTGAAGCGAGTCTTTGGGCAGCCCATTGTTGCCTTGGTGCTCCTGACCTTTGTGCAGCAGAGTGTGTGCAGAGAGACCCTGGTACGTGCTGGCAGCACAGGAGTAAGGCAGCTCCCACCGGACCTGCTCAGGGTCTGTCATCAGATAAACAAAGCCCGACATTCACCAAAACCAAAGGGTGCTGGGTGAGCTTGAGCCAAGGCAGACAGCAAACCTGCTCTTGCAAGTCATCTAAGACCTTTGGCTTCCTGTGCACCGGCTTGTGGGGAGCTGAGAGAGCATGTGAAAACATGTGTATACATGTGCCCATCCTGTGCTGCAGGCAAAGCTCAAAGGCCAGTGCTCTATTTCTTCCTCCTGTCGTCATGGTGGGGCGACAGGTGTGTGGGACAGGGAAAAGGTGTGGCTAAATTTGTGTTAAGCATTTCTGCTGCTTTGCTGTAGGATTTTGCAGACCCTCAGAGGTGTTGCTGAAGCCAGGCTGGGGACAGAGGTGCTCTACGAACTGATCGAGGTGAGAGCTGTGGGAGATCAGGGGTGACCAGCCACAGACACTGGTCCCTTACTGCCCAGGGAGTGGGACAGCCCTGAGCCCACGGACAGGCCAGTGAGTAAAACGTTTGCTTTAATGCTTCCACAGAAAGGGAAGGAGATTCTCACTGACAACAACATTCCTCACGGCCAGTGCGTGATCTGCCTCTATGGATTCCAGGTAGGCATTTGTCTCCTGGCCCTGCAAGCTAGCTGGAAGTGAGGCAAGAGAACGGGGAGCCTGGGGCTCAAAGCTGGGGATATCGGCCTGGGACCAGGGTGTATCTTAGCAACCCCCTGCTTCCCTGGTTTGTAGGTGGTCCTACTGAGCGTGAACCTTCCTAAGTAGCTACTTTCCATCAGCCTGAGGATAACCATGTACAGAAACAAGGCATAGGGGAAGGAAGTGGTGCTGGAGCATCTCCAGAGGAGTCTGGGGATAGTTGCTGGTGCATTTCAGCTTCCCTCTGTTGGTCAAAGCTTGCCTGGAGTTTAGCACACAGGTGGTCAGGAGGGACTGGAACATACCTGTATGGTGTTGAGGTCTGTGAGGACAGGGGAGCTTGCCTTGTCTGGGCTGTAAGGAGAGGTTGTGCCTGCCTGGGAAACAGAACACATCAGGTAGGAAGAGAAATCAGGCACAAAAATTTTGCATCTTGATATTAGGAGTGTTTCTTACAGTCAGAATAGGGAACAGTGTTCCAGTAAGAGCTGTGGAAGTAGAGATGAAGCCCAGCAGAAGATGTTACGTGGCTCTGCCAGCAATAGCACTGGTTCCCCACTGACAGCACTGACATGGGAGTGAAGACCCACCTCAGCTGGGGAGGCTACACAGCCCTGTGCTCAGAAACCCTTTAAAGATCTCCTTTCTCCTCTGTAGGAGAGAGAAGCCTTCACAAAGACCCAGTGCTACCACTACTTCCACTCCCACTGCCTGGCCCGCTATGCCCAGCACATGGAGGAGGAGATGCTCATGCAACAGGAGGAGAGAGAACAGCACCTGACGCCATCCCCCAAAAAGGTAGTGGGCCCTGGGCTCTCTCCCCTAGCCCCCTGCACAGGCCCTCATGACACCTCTGTTGCCCACTTTGGGATATGGAGCAAGGGCTGACCTGACCCGGGAGCCTGCTCAGTGTCATGCCTGCTCTGAGAATCAGAAGGGGGATTAGACCAAGTGATCTCCACGGGCCCTTTGCAACCAGATTTACACTGTGAGTTTTCAGTACTTTAGCAGTTGGATTATCTGATCTCTCGGTCAGCACTTGCTGTGTGAGAGGGCAGGGGAGTTGTATTTTTGGACTTCTGGAACCACTGGAGTTAGAAAAGATTGCTCCTTCCCTGGCCCTCAAACTGTGGGCGTTTGCAGCAGGGTAAACATTCTTACCTGCATTCTGGGCTGGTAAAACCTGCTGTTGCTTTCGCACTGCTGGAACCTCCCTGGGCTTCCCTGCCCTGGCAGAAGAGTGAATAAGGCCACCCTGTTCCACATCCAGGCTCGGGTTATCCAGCAGCGCGTGAACTGGGTTGCAGCAGGGGTCTGTGGTATCTCCTCTTGCCTCCCTGCAGGAAGCTGGTGTGCAGTGCCCTCTCTGCCGGGAGACGCTGGTCTACGACCTCTGCGCTCTGAAGGCGGCACCGCCCCCACAGCACCCACTGGTAAGAGATGGGGGCTCCTCTGCCCACTCATTGGGTAGCTTCAACTGCAACATTTTAACGGATGAACGAATGCACGCTCTCGGGTCTTCCTAGGTGGCATCCAAAGGACAGTTCATAAAACCTAGCAGGGTGTCTCCTGACTCTTTGACATGTGCACAAAGAGCAGGTTTAGTTGTATACCCCTGTGTCTTTAGGGGATGTGCTGGAGGAGAGGTGATTCTGCCATGGGGCATGTCCCTTCACTCACTGGGATATAATCAGGGTCAGGAGAGTGACTCAGTGTAGCCGCTCTGCGTCTTGCCCCGCAGCAGGACATCCCAAGGCAGTCGCTCCAGGAGCAGTGGGTCTGTGCTGGCATGGTCTACATCTGTCTAGGGGTTTCACATGCATCTCTAGGCCTGGTCAAATGTGGCAAAGAGAGGCAGGTTGCTGGGGTGCTGTGTGATCAAAGGAGAGTTTCAGGAGTAGCTCTTAGCACTGTCGGCTGCCTGTGTGTGCTCGGTGTTGTGAGAGCCCTTACCCGACCTTGCTTTCTGCCACTCAGGAGCCATACAGGCCAGACGCCAAGACACTGCAGCACCAGGAGGAACTGCGCTTAATTTTCAAGAGACAGCAAGAGAAAGGGGGCATCATTGACCCCGAAGCAGAGAGGAACCGTTACTTCATCAGCCTCCAGGCGGTATGGCACTGGGGCAGAGGGCTGGCGGGGGGGGGGCAATGGACTGCAGGACCGAGCGCTGTCGTCTGCTGTGGGACTTCCCTGTCCCTTTCTTCACTGGTGGCTTCTTTCTTTCAGCCTCCAGCTGCTGTCGACCCAGGCCAGGCGGCTGCTGTCTCTGAGCTGCCAGTGAGGGCAAGTGCTGGTGGAGGCCAAGTGTGTGGGATGTGCCCCAGCCACCCAGCCAAGCCTTGGCTCCAGAGCCAGCTGGGGCGCCGGAGGCCAGAGCAGAAGCTGGGCAGCCTGAGAGGCCTGCTGTGCCCAGGGAGCAACAGAGCAAGAGGGAGAGGCACAGAGGGGAGAGGCCAGGCCCCAGAGGCCAGGGCAGGCAGTCGTGCAGTGGCTTGCAGGAACCAGCAGAGGAAGCCTTTCATCCACTCCATGGCTCCAGGGGGCCCAGGGCCTTCAGCCAGAGACCAGAGCGGAAACCTGGTGGGAGGCACAGTCAGGAGTTTCCAAAGCCTCACAGCAGAAGCAGGGCTGCTGCCTTGGCTGAAAGAAAGGAGTTGTGCCCTGAAGACCCCTCACCAGTAACAGAGGCAGTGGACTTGAAAGAGGAGCACCATGATGTGGAGAGATGGACCCCAGAGGAGGGGGCTGAGGCTCAGGGCAGGCAGAAGGAGAATCTGGCGTTCAACTGCAGTGACCACAGAGCAGCTCCCAGCTGGCAGGGCCACCACAGGTCCTGGGATTGTGGGAGGTGGGAGAGGTCCAGAGTCCAGGACCGTGGTTCCTACCCCAGAATGCCAAGAGGGCGAGGGGTATTCAGGCCGAGCGGACGAGATGCCCAACACCTTGAGAAGGAGAGTGGCTCCTAGCAGGAGTGGTGAGGGACTGGGCTGGGGGAGGGAAGGGCTGTTTTTTGGGGAAAGCAGTGAAGGCTCTGGTGGAGCAGTAGCAAGCAGACATTGTACCACTTGGGAAAGAGGAGGCAGTTGGCATGCAGCACAGCTTGGGACAGGCAGAGTCTCCAGGGTATGTGCAGAGTGAGGCATCCTGGCATGACCGACTGGCTGTCACCAGCACTGGAGAGGCTGACTCCTGACAGGTCATATCAGCCTTGCTCTTGGAGGACCCAGGGGACAGAGGAAGCCTTGACTGAGGACATGCGGCCATCCCTTTATGTGAGCTGCCAAGAAACGTGCAGGCCTACAGAGCAAATGGACTGAGCCCAGTGCAGTGCCACAGCAAAGCCAAAGTCGTGGCAGGACCTTCCCTGGAAGCCAGCTTCCCAGCAGAGCCATAGTGGTGCCAAATGAGGTGGCTGTGCCAGGGCAGCAGCCTGGAGCTTGGCTTGCTGTGTCCCCCATTCCTTCCCAGAGCACTTCTTAACTGCTGTCCCTGTCCCTTGGAGACAACATCGCTTCTCCCACAGCCCTGACTGCTGTTCAGCTGATGGGCTCAGGCAGGCAAGTCCTCTGTATGACAGGACACTTCCCAGTCCCAGTCAGGAGAGCTGTATTAAGCTTAAGTCAATGTATTGGCAGGTCAAGACTGTCTAGATGAAACTTCGGGTTGCCTCCTGCTACCTCAGGAAGCCTGAATGTAGCTGGGGCTCTTGCCCTGTCCTTCAGCTGCTTTTGTGCAGGCAAAACCTGATGGGGAAGACCTGGGAAGAGCACTCTGCTCTGCAGCCTGTATCTGTCAGGATCCACCTGTAAGGCCAGGCTGTCTCTTGGAGCTTCTGGCAGCCCAGATTGAAGACATGCCCCAATACTTTGGATACCGTTACCCTCCTTTCATCTTCAAGCTGATCTTGCTTCAAAGAAATGAGGATTTGTTGTTTAACTTGATGCAGTTCCTTCTGTTGCTGCTTCACAGATTTAAACAGTGTCCCACTCCAGCGCCATGACGGGCAATCCCAAACCCCTGAAGTGGGACTCTGCTATTAAATTAACTTGTTGGGTCTTCTCCAGAGCCTAGTCCCTTTGTTTTCTCTGCCCTCTCACTCCTGTTCTTTGCTGTTTGGAGCAAAGGTGTTGATCCCTGGTATTGCTCCCTCCCCTCCCTGCTCCCAACCCCTGGGACTGGGGCAGAGACCTTCCTCTGGCACTCCTGGGTGGCAGGAGAGCTCCCCAGTCCCTGCTTTGCCTGGCTCGGTGTAAGCTGTCTGGCTCACCTAGACAGTACTGATTCCTTCAACTTGTGCCTTGTGTCCCACCTCTCTTTTGCCCACACGTGGGTTGTTATTGTCTTCCTTCTTCTGCTGAGCGCAAAAACGGCCATGCCACGGTGGACTTGCCAGAGCTTTGGGTGAGATCCCTAGGAAGCCAAAGGCTGTGTGCTGGCTGGGAAGGCATTGGCGCTGCATCTGCCTGGCTGATCCTTTGGCACATGAATGGGTCCTCCTCACCTGCTGCTCTGCTCTCTCCATGCCTGGCCTTGTCCTGAAGGGGTTGGTTTAACCTGCTGCCCAAGATCCTTCTGTGCTTAAATTTCCAATGCTGGCCTATTTTCACCCCAAATGCTCTAAAAGCATTATGGGTTTTTTCCCCTCCTTGATCTAAGCTACACTACCCATCCTGGGCTTGAGGATCTGAGAGCCAGATATTGTGCACCACTGGGGACAAGGGCTGAGCGCTCGCTCCCTGAAGAGAGCCCTAATTTTTCTTCTGTGCTCACCCTGCCCTTGTTCCAGCTGGTTTCTGGGTGGACAGCCTGTCCACACTTGGGTACAAAGGTGTAAACTCTGTCTGACATCGGTGCTTGTTCTGCTGCCTCCTGCCTTCGCTTGTGAAATTGCTGTGCTCCAAGAAGTTTGATCATGTTCTGGAAGAAACATGAAGATCTCTGCCCCTCACAGCAGCTGAAGCTAAAGCTCCTGCTCACTGCTGTGCCCAGTGTTTGGAGCATGGGAATTCAGCCATGGAAATCAGAGTGAGGACTTGGGTAACTTCAATCAGACATGTTAGAGGAGAGTTCCCTACTTTTGGTAGTAGAGATTTAGGAAAGGCCCTCACCTTTCTGACTCACTGCTGTCAGCCTAGAGCAGAGGACAATTTGCAACAGCACAGGAAAATGAATTTGGGCTAAACAAAATTCAACTTTCCAGGTTGGAGGAGAGAAACGGAGCCTGCACCCTGCCCTGGGACTCCTCACTTGGTGCCAGCCTGTGTCACCCACCTACCTCACAGGGCTGTTGTGAGGCTGAACTGTCAGAAGCGCCCAGGCCGGGCAGAAAGGCACGGGCAGTGTCTGTAGCACTAACACTATTAAAAGCAGAGTGACATACATTGACTGTGCTCTCATATTGTGGCATCGGGACCCTCTAGCTCTCTCTCATCCTCCTGAACTGCTGTGAGGCATTTGCTGGTCATGACCCCCAGCTTTGAGGGAAGAGGCTGGATCTCAGCATTCAGCCTCTGTGGGATGGCCAAGCACAAGGTCTGAGATGCCAACAGCATCACCCTGCTCTGGGAGCCACCCTGAGTCACAGGATCAGCCTTCCACTTGTGGAAACGTCTGTGCCAGTCGGGGGTCACACCAAAGTAGCGCCCATTTGTGCTGAAATTCAGCCAGGCAGCATTGGCTGGGCCCCTTGTACCCCTGCACATTCAGCTTTGCCCTTGGCACCGTGGGGCTGAGCCAAGAGGAGGGCTTAGCAGTGACCTGACGGTTTGGGTTTGACCTGGAACCAGCTCCCCCAGCCCTGCCAAGGTGATGCAGCCCCTGAAGCAAGGACAGGGACACAGGGCTGCCTCTGGGAAAGGTGATTTTGGGAGTCTGAAACGGGATGTGGGGGGGAGAGGGAGGAGTGGTTCTGTGGGTCAGCATGCACAGCCTGACCCCTGGCTCCGTGGCATTGGGAAGGAGGCACGGAAACTGCCCACTTCCCAACTGCATTTCAGGCACTGGTGGCTCTACCAGCCCATCCAGGACTTTTGTTCCTGGCAGGAAGGAAGCCTGGTGACAGGGAAAAGGCTGCAAGGCTGCCAGCAGCAGGCCAAATCCCTCCTTCAGCCATGCAGGACCTCTGCTGCTGGAAGGAGAGGAGCAGTCACCTCCAACAGGGATTCCTGCACCTTGCACTGGGCTGGCCTGGCTGCAGAAATTCACACTGGGGTTAACATCAAGCTCTTGGGAAGATGCGTCCATAGCAGCCATAGCCTCTCACCTGCCTTGCCACACAGGCCTGCAGTAGCTCCAGCCCCTCGTCTCCTCCTCTGGTAGGGACAGTCATATCCACCCAGGAATGATGATCAACCAGACCTGCGACTTGGCATTGCAGGCCAGCAGGGCAGGAGCTGTGGCACCATCCTGCAGCCCAAGGGACAACGAGCTGTCTCTTGGGAGCTGCTGCTTCTGAAACACACTGGATTTGCAGTACCGGCCATGCTAGGCCCTGGTCAGGAGGGGTCTGGACCAGGAGCTGGATAGTGGGGCAACTAACAGGCAAAGAGGCTGGAGAGCTGAGAGCTATGTTGTGCACATCACAGAGGATATTCATAAACCAGTCAAGACGGCTCTCCCTTCAAAGACCAGCAGCTCTTTAACAGCACAGAACCCCACTGCCCTGGCCCAGGGAAATGCCCATCTGGGGCACCCCCAGACTGCCCTGCAAGGAAGGGGATTCACATCCAGCAGCTTACAGCAATCCCAGCAGGAGGCACATGCTGGTAAGTGTGGCCAGTACAGTAGCACCCAAGTATGGGGAGCAGCAAGAGCCAACCCCCTCTCCCTGCTGCAAGGCTGGCAGCTCTGCCTTTACACCTGTTTTAATAACAAGCCAAGGCCTTGGCAAGAAGAGGTGAACAGAGACCTGGGCTGGTGGCCGGGCAGCTCCACAGCATCCCTGGGATGGTCACGTCCTTGTCCCAGTCCTCTCAGTGTGGCAGGGGAAAGCTGGCCCCTGGTTAGGGCAGGATGGAGCAGACGCTGGCAATGGCTCCCTGGGGGTCCGTCTTGTAGAGCATGAAGTGGCCCTGCACCTGGGCAGCGCTGATCTGCTTGGAGACCGCCAGCGCCTCCACCGCAAAGCGCTCAGCCAGAGCCTGGGGCTGCTCAGGGTAGAAGCGCTGGAACATGCAGGCAAGCTGCCAGCGGGAGCAGTGGCCCACATACTGCTTGAGATCCACACGGCCCGGCCGCACCAGGGCTGGGTCCAGCCTGCCAAGAGACACAAGGGCGCCTTGAGAACCTGATCCTGCAGGAAGCGCCCCCTCCATGCCAGCACAGCTGGGTCCTATCTGCACTGGGTGATGGGAAAGGTGGGGAAGAGGTTTGTCCCTGAGAGGTTGAGGGGGAAAATGAATCCAAACCAAATGAGAGAGCTGGAGAAGGGCTGGCTCTGTAGGAGAACAAGTGTGTGCTGTGAAACAGCTCTGCCCCAGGCTGCATCCTGCCAACCCAACGGGCTGTGCGTGGGGCCAGCGTTTCACGTGCAGCACGGCCACAACCCCAAAATCTGCAGATCCCCATAGGCAGGAAGCCGGTGCCCCTTCTGAAGGGCACAACCATGGTCTAAACAGGAAGGAAGCATCTGAGGCTCCAAGAGAGGGGATCCCGATTAGCGATCGAGGGATCTGCATCCCAAGGGAGGATTTGGGAAACCTGAACCCCCAGCCCTCATACTGCAGGTCTCCATAAAGGTCATCAAAAGGTAGCAAGGTTTTCCTGCGCTGCCCTCCCAGAGGGCAGCTCTGACCTGTCCACGTAGTTGGTGGTCATGAAGACAATCCTGGCCTCCGTGGAGGCCACACCATCCAGCGCGTTGAGGAGGCCGCTGAAGGTCAGGCGCCCCATGCCTTGGTACACAGCTGCGTCTGGGGACAGAGATGTCCAAGGTAATATTCATCAGCCACTCACCCAGCGCAGTCTT